AACTTGGGTGAACTTCCAGTCCAGTAACAGACTTCCTTGCCTCCCGTTTTATCCCGCACCCCAGGCATAGGTTTTGGAGACCGGACCAGCACCTTCTGCGGCACCCCAGAATTCCTGGCTCCGGAAATTTTGACGGACCCGTCTTACACCCGGGCCGTGGACTGGTGGGGGCTCGGCGTGCTCATTTTTGAGATGCTGGTGGGAGAGGTGAGCCCAATTTCCAGTCTTTGCTGAATCTTCACCCGGCATCCAGGCTTTAAAACACACGAAGTTCCAGAGGGGGGAAATGCTGTTCACAAAGAACATTTCTGTAGTCCTAAAACTGCAAAAATTACAGTTACTGTACATACTTGCGGATAAGCCCATCTGTGGATAAACCAAATTTTTAACCAAAATGGCATGAAAAATGCATCAACCACGGATAAGCCAACCCTCGAAATTTTCGTATTATGTTTTAATTTCCGCAATTGGCTTATCCGTGGCTGGGTTTATCTGTGAGTACATACGGGTATATGGGTAGTTTTAAAAAAGTATTGACTTATATATTTGCGGATAAGCCGAACCCAATTTTAGAGATGGATTCTGGCACCTAAAATTCTCAGCTTATCCACAAGTATATATGGTATATGAATTCATGTAAATACATTGGGAACAGTAGAAAAACTTGATTGTGTTGTCAAAGACACATCAGTGTGGTCTTCTTAACAGCAGGAGAATCATCGTTGGCTTTTGCCCTATTATGGCATACTTTGGAAGGCTTGCTGATCTAATCTATAGTCCTGGGATCACCTGGTGGTCTCCCGTCCATGTATTACCCAAGACGTTACATTACCCATGCGTTACCCTGTTAGCTTTTCTGAGATCAACACCTGCAGCCTGCTGAGGTTTCAATTACTTATTCATCAAGTTTTCTTGGTGGTAATATTGCCCTCCGGGGGTATTTTCTAGTGCTTTCTTATCCAAATATTAACAAGTCCAATCCTGTGTGGCTTTTTTATTCTCTTCTAGCAGAAGGCAGAATGAGGTGGTTGCTTTCATAGGATCTGTTTCTTTGTCATTCTGGTTGTTTCCATTTTTTCCCCTTTTATTGTCATGTAAATCATGATACGTTGAATTATTTCAGCACAGATTTCAGTGCAGTAAAGTTTAGGTAATATGATTAAAAATGATTCGCATTCTCTCGAAAAATAAAAAGAGAAAAGTAAAACTTCTGCCAGTATTAATTGCCATTTAGGCTGCCAGTGTCACAAACATAAGATGATTTAATTGTTCATCCAAAGTTGAATGTAAGATTTAAAAAAAAGAAAGAACTACTGTGATTTGCATTGAAGTATTAGTTATGCGAGAATAGCTTCAGTCTTGAACTAATTACAAGTTTTATTATTTATATCCAACCATCCAGAGTTCGGTATCAGATGGGTGGCTATATAAATGTTTTGAATGAATGAATGAATGAATGAATGAATGAATGAATGAATGAATGAATACTTAAGATCTCCAAAGACCCCCTTCTTTGTGGATGACAAGGTTCCTGTTTTGTTTTTTAATGTAAAGAAGATAAAAAATTAAGACCAGGGAGAGGACAGAACCTGCTGGAGGCCAAGGTACATATAGGCAGGCAGGTATCAAATTGCTAACCCCTGTTAGATACATGGAGAGGTAGCGTGGTGTAGTGGTTAAAGGGTTGCGCTCCTGGCCCAGGACGAGCCAGATTGAATTCCTCTTAGACAAGCATCTAGGTGACTTTCTAGAAGTCCTGCCTACTTCACAGGGTTGTTGTGCGGGGAGGGGCCGTTTTGACGTTCCTCGGAAAAGGTAGGAGAGGAACCCAATATTCAAACAATACCGAGCTCTGTCCTCCTGTCCCTTCCCAGTCTCCCTTCCCCGGCGACACCGAAGAGGAGATTTTTGACAGCATCGTCAGTGAAGAGGTCCGTTTCCCGCGATTCCTCTCTGCGTCCAGCACCTCCCTTATGCGCAAGGTAGAGTCGGGAGTTTGCAGGGGGGCCCGCAGCAAAGTTTTGTGCTGGGTGGGGACCCAGTCCCGGTTTTTTCTTCTCTCTCGGCAGCTTCTCCAGAAGTGTCCCGAGCGACGTCTCGGAGCAGGAGCGGAAGACGCGGAAGAGATTAAAACCCAGCCTTTTTTCAAGGTAACACCCTTCACCTGGGTCCTGAAGGGACCCGTTTTCTTTCATTTGCCAGAAAGGGCCCTGCAAAAAAATAAGAAGCAGCGAGCTGAAGAAATGCAAGGCAAGAGATTAAAAAAGGGAATCGGCTAAATTTCGCGGGCATCGGCACTGTTGCTCTCATTCTCGGCATGATCTTTACAAACCACCCACCCGTTCTCTGTAATCCAGTCCATTTTTCGTCTTTCTTCTTAACCAGTAAAAAAAAAGAGCGTCATGGTTTTAATTTTTTGCAAATATCTTCAATACCGGGCAAATAATTTTCTTGAATGTGTCACCTTTCGAACCCCATCCTGTCTTTGATTTTCCTCTCAACCCCTTCGCTCTTCTTTTATATATCTGTTTTGCAATCTGATCCTCATTCTCTCTATAACAGGGTTCCTCAACCTTGGCCACTTTAAGACAGGTGGACTTCAACTCCCAGAATTCCCCAGCCAGCAGGGGAATTCTGGGAG